ATAATTATGGTAGAGAGCTCTATCTGATTTAGGACTGACTGCACCATTTTATGCTTTTTAGTGTAGAATGGGAAAACAAGCTTTTATCTCCAATTTCTCTTAGTTTTTAGCCTGGGTCTCAGATGGAGCTTAAAATTTTGGAACTGCGCAAAAGCTGGATATTTAGAAAGTTTAAATGCCAAGAAGGCTCTTTGACATAGCCAAAGTAGCTATGCTAGTTGCTCGCACTTGATACATTACAACCTACATTTAAGCTGTTCATAACTTCAACTTCTCAGTTCATAATATTATGGGTATTCATTTAAGATATATAATTGTAGAACATTAGTTATTTTTTTTACCAAATCTACGTTGCACTACCTGGGTTGCTTTCCTTATCTTTCCAGTCATATGTGGCAGTGGTATCTCTTCTGTTACTGATTTTGTCTTTCTGTCTCAGTTTTTGGTCATCAAGACAACCCTTCTCATTTAAGCAGAACTCCAAGATTTGTAGTCATCTCATACACAATGCTAAAGCGCTTGAAAAGGAGCATTCTAGAGCATGAATGGGCTATCAAAATCATTGATGAATCACATCATCTTCGTTGTTCAAAGAAAAAATCTGAACCAGAAGAGGTTAGACCACATTTCATTTACTAATCGGCTAGTAAGGAATTCCTAAAGAAAGCATAATTATTTATTTACTCTCTCTTCTGAAATCTTTTGAATGGCTGTCATCTATAACAGAATTCAAGTCATTGAACTAAAATGTTTTTTTGAAGTTGTGTAGGTTGAGAAGATTTGTACTTTAGGTGTTATGATCTATATAGCTTATGACATAGTTGTTGTATTACATATGTATGTCATATTCCCTTTATGACTAGGTTGTCTATTTAATTCTATGCTTGTATTCATTTTTGTGTGAGTGTGAAGAATATAGAAATGACATTACATCTATTACTCATAATCTATTTCTTCTTATCTATCTCTCCTGAAATTATTCAACACTGAGAGTATACAACATGGTATTAGAGCCTATTCGGTCGAAAATTCTTTAGGCATGTAGATATATTTTGCAGTGGAAAAGTGATTGCCGGTGTGAACATTTGGGGTATTCTACTTCCCAACTCTCATCCGTTGGTCTATTTCAAATTCTGGATCAACCATGTAGCTCTAGTGCTCTATCTCTCGTCGCAACCTACCACCAAGAATCCCACTACGGACGCTTCCGGAACACGTCACATACAACCCACGTTTGCCAACCATTTCCCGGCTGATAATTTTCTCACTGATGATCTTATTTCGACACTGCCACCGCCATCCAACATATATCGCTCTTGCAATCCTAAGGTGTTTACTCAAACGACGTGAGATTAGGATACACAAAGTATTGTTGTGTTTTAAAAGAGTAGCAGCAGAACGCTTTTTGAAGTCTAGAATGCCCCACAATCACACATTTAAGAGATTTAGCTTCTAATTTGTCATGATTTAGAGTATTATCTCAGACAAAGGGAGTACACCCCAAAGACTTCTAAAGGAAGTTTGTGCAAGAGTTGGTTAGAAAATGAGAGCATAGTTATCATGGTGCCAAGGCGAGGCACCAGTGCACTGCCATGACGCCTAGACAACTACGGGACCACCTAGACAACAATTTGGTGACCTAGGCGGCAACACCTAAGGAATCNNGGATTGGTATGCATTAGTAGCACTAAGTAACACAAATATTAAACATACGTGTTCTATAAACCTTATCAAAATTTCAAATATACATACTTAAAAAAATATAAACACACCATAATATGAGAGAAAAGAAGAATATGAAATACGAAATATGATTAAAACACAATATACAACTTCTTAGTCAAAGTCAATACTAAGTATGAAAAAAGTCACCAACTAAAAGGCATAAGAGATTTTCAAAAGGCAATGCGTAGGTGCCTAGGCGAGGTATGCAAAATAAGGCGATGCAATACACAATGGCGAGAGTAGCTGACCGGAGGACGCCTAGGCGACGCCTTGATAACTATGAATGAGAGGCTATATGTTATTTGGCTATGTAAGACATATGAAGGCAGAAGGCATGGGATTGAAAAGGTAATCTGCATAGAGGATATCATCTCCACAAAACATGGAGAAATTTAGTGTAGACTCTAGAAACTTACGACTAGTTAATTTAACTATATCTTGATTCTTTCTTTCAACATTTCCATTTTGTTGCAGAGTAATAGAGCAAGACAATTCGTGGAGGATTCCTTCGGCATCTAGAAAATCAAATAATGGGCCCAACAAAATTTCTTTAACATTCTGTTGAAAAGCCTAGCCTCAAATTTTGGATGTTGCCACGTTGGAATTGATGACATCAAGGCAAGCGACAATATAAATTAGTTGGTGTACTTTGTAAGGGGAGTAACTGTTAGATGGGAAATTGTGTGGAGAGGGGGATTAATATCATTTGTGCAGAAAGAACACATACAAATCGTACGCCTGTCATACAAAATGATAGAATCCAAGATAGGCAGGGAGACTTAAGTAATGAAAATCTGTTTCAAATTATGAAATCATGTTCTAATTCCAATACTCCATATATCTCTATCATAGAAACTCCAACCTGACCTTTGATCTCACTATTGAACTTCTGGAAAACATTGGGTATTTCAAATCGCTGCTTTAGTAAAAACATCCAAGTACATCGAGGAAAATTATGACTGTAGGTGACAGAATAACTGAAACCCCAAAAAAAGGAACATGACATGGTCCCCTGACACCTATGCATGGCTATAAACTAGTAGGAAAAGGGTATTAATTATATTATTTACTCAATTATTAAAAGACACTCTAGAATGTTTTCTAAGCTCACATGACTCACAATTTACGGTTGACACATTTGGTAGATTTGGAAGTTGGAAGAAATTCACACAATTCCTTTAGACTAGGATGACTTAGTAGACTATGAAGTATGAACAAGAAATGGTGACATAGCAGAATGGTCGTTGATGGAAGATAGTGACAAGCAATATAATTCTTGATTCATATCTCAAACCAATTGTCTTTCCTGTACTCCAATCCTGCACCACAACAGAACTAGAAGAAAAGATAACTCAGCAACTGAGAGTGTGAGTCAGCTATTG